AAAAAAAAAAAAAGTACAGTCATAATTGGAACCTAGTTCTTTGAATTTAAAAGACTTCCACATATGTAGATGTTAGGTCCATCCCATGTAAGCAGAAAGGAACCAACAAAGTTATATGTGATGAAACGGAAGCAAGAAATATAAGCATAAAGAAATATTGAACCAAGTAAAGTAAATAACCAAAGTACCATGTCGCGGAATTCTTAAAACGCGTAAACATTTTCATATGTCTCAAATCATCAATACAAGAATAGTTTCTTCAACAAACGGTAGCTTCAAACAGTTAAAAAAGACTTGGGATTTCATTTGGTTCCACATAGAACAACGCTTCAATCTCTTCCTTTCGACTTCCATACCCATCGGTTGGCAGAGATGGCTTATTCCTGCAGGCTTCATAAAGAGATTTGATAATCAGCTTGATGCTTGATATTAACATGATGAGACTGAAATCAAATGGGTAAAATGCATATAGTGAAAGAAAGGCCAAATATTATAATTTGTACTCGTAGCAGAATGCAAAAATCAAATTCTAATTCTAATACATTAACTACAAAAACAGAACACAAGACAGAGTAACAATTTTCTCTCTTAAATTTTTTACATGTTAATCTTTCATATCATATTGGATAAATAGCCAATCTTGGAGCATATCCACAATTGCATAGAACAAAAACAACCGACCATCGAAGTATAATCATTAATTAGAATAATTAGATAGATTACTGATAGGGAATGGAACTTCTTAAACCATACATCAACTTGATGCCAATGTAAGATGACACATACTCAAACCACTTAAATTTTAGTCTCAGACAAGAAGAAAGAAGCAAGGAAAATTCAAAATTCTATTCAGTTTTATGTTCTCGCCACACGACACAAAGCCAGCTGAAGTAATCCACAAAAAGTGCAAAAACAAAAAGCATGGCTAACCAATCGAGAAAATCAGAGCAATCAAGCCTAAGAATCACTAGCGGGAGGTTGATGGTGATTGACAACCAAGGGCGGGCGAAGGGCCTTGTGGTTAGCCTCTTTCTCCTTCCGAGCATTGTACATTTCCTGCGTCTCAACCACCACCAATCTCTTCACCTGAAATCAAATATAAAAACCAATCAATATTAAAAGAACCATTTTTTATATAATTTTTTTGGAGAAAATAAAGGAAAACGAGAAGTTGGAGAAGGAGATAACCTGCTGAAGCATTCCCCGGAGAGAGGGCGTATTGTAGTGGGTGACAGTACGATTGCACTTGGTGAGGCGCAAGGCCTGTAACGTGCGCCGGTGGAGCCTTCTTGTGCCCGGGATTCCCCTCACCAGGGTTATGTACAGATTAGGGCTCCACGCAATAGGAACATTCGCTTTAAATGCATTGAAAGCACTCATTTTTTTTTTTTTTGGATTAGCTTCTGGTGAGTTGCGATCTTTGTTCGTCCCAATCGAACGACAGAGAACGAGAATTGCTGCACAGACAGAAGGAATCAAGGGTTTGGAAATGGTTTTACAATTATCAAAACGATTTCATCAGTTACAAGTTTTTTTATGGGTTGGACGTAAAAGGCAAATTTGCAGATTTAGATGGTGCTTGATAGGGCCGTGCCCTGGCCCGATTTAGGGCGAGTCGACCCGCCCGGACTGTACCTGCGACAAGAACACAAAACAAGCAGGCGCAGCGGATATTACCGGCAACATTTGAAAAAAAA